CCTCACTGTTCTCTTATTAATCCTTAATTATTACTCTCTCTCTCTATATTTTTTTAAATTTAGGTATCGTTTAAACTGTGTTAAATTTGAATATTTTGTTATACAAACTGGTTTACTACAAATTGGGCTCATTCAGCTGGTGCTGGTATTGGGCTTGGTTTTTTTTGTTGGGCTCATTCGAGCTTGGTTTACTAAACGCTAATTTAAAGGCTTAACAACTACACAAAGCTTAATTTAACATGAGAGCAATATAGGCATTCAGAAGGACCCGTCAATATAGGCATCCCCTGTGCTAACAACAACTAAGGTGAGAAGTATGTGACAACCTAAGCACTCAAAAGGACCCGTCAATATAGGTATCCCCTGTGCTAACAACAACTAAGGTGAGAAGTATGTGTGAATACATTAAGATCAAATAAACAACAATATTCAGATGAAGAATAGTCAACAGCAATAACACAACAACAGAAAAACATGAACAACAAACTCAGAAAATTCTTCCTTATGTGTTTTTAGTGACTCATTTTTGTATATATGTCAAACTAGGGTTTTGGGAAAAAATGGAGCTAAAGTATTGTTCCTCTTTGTTTTTAGTTAGTCAATTTAGTTGTGCTAGTAAAGAAATAAATAAATCGTGTCAGTGGTGGTTCGACACTCTCATTCCTTAAGAGAGGTCAGGGGTTCGATCTTTGCTCTCGTACGGAGTCACCACTTTGGCCAACACTTTACCCCTTACGGGCCGACCCGGTGTGAGTGGGGATTAGTCTGGGTTGTGGTTAAGGCTTAAAGGTGCCACCCACAGTTGGGGCCCATCCAGGACCACCTCATGGTTCAGACAAAAAAATAAAAAAAATCGTGTCAGTGGCAGTAACGTAAGTTTAGGTTTCTGACAAATAATTTTTTAAATGAGTATATAACAATTTCACAAATTATTACTGAACATGATTTAACTGTTTTTGTTCTCGAAAAATGTTTTCAAATTAACAATTTCACAACTATATCTAAGAATAACAATTTCACAACTACATTCTTAGATATAGAAAATGCAAATTTGTTTTCCCATTTTGCTATATTGTATTAGTTTTGTTATGCATATACGATTTTATATTTTTTCTTGTTTTTATCCTTTATGGCCACTGTCATGAGCATTCTTCCTAACCTTTTTAGCTTTCTATCACGACCAAGACTTTCTAGATGCCATTTTTAATTTATTAGGTTATTTACTCAAATAGTCCTTAAACTTATATTCAAGTTGCATTTGGGTCCTTCAACTAAATTATTCTTTCAAATGGTCCACTAACTCTATATTAATCGGGGAATTAGTCCTACCACCGTTACATTTTCTATGAATTTTAGTCATTGTTTAGGTTGTGCGTGATTCTCTCCAGATCAATTCAACATGTTGTTGTGTTTGGTCTCTAGAGAAGATTTACTCATATTCGGCACATAGTTGCTTTGTACTTTTATTTGCTCATCAATAATATACTATTGCTTTTTTTTATTATTAAAAATAAACTACTTTTAACATCTAAATTATGTAAATAAAAGAGGAAGAATAAATTATTATGAATGATCTTAACCACTTAAGCTTTATTAATAGTTGAAAAGTCCGAGAAAATAAATTATGTAAATGGTGTTAGATTCAAAAAGATATCACCGTCAGCAACTTGAAAATTAGCCTGGGCTATAAAATATTTTTTCTCAAGAGCACTACTAGAAATCTTAGTAGTTAAATTTAAAATAAATTTTCATTTTAAGGCCAAAACCAAATTACCAATTTTTTGCCCCGATTTATTACCTTTTTGGCAGTACCTAAATTATACCGAAAAGTTTTGGTAGTGCTTGTAAATAAATAAATATATCGTGTCTAGCTAGAAGGGTAATGTGAATTTTGGTTTCTGAAAAATAATTTTTTAAATGAGAATATAACAATTTTTTTTTTTTTTTGGGTCTGAACCACGAGGTGGTCCTGGATGGGCCTCAATTATGGGTGGCACCTTTAAGTCTTAACTACAACCCAGACTAATCCCCGCTTACACCGAGTCGGCCCGTAAGGGGTAAAGTGCTGGCCAAAGTGATGACTCCATACGAGAGCAGGGATCGAACCCCTAACCTCTCTTAAGGAATGAGAGTGACGAACCACTCACACAAATCACCTTGGTTGAATATAACAATTTCACAAATTATTATTGAATATGATTGTACTGATTTTGTTCTCTAAAAATGTTGTCAAATATGTGTGGGTAATGCAAATTCTTTTTTCCATTTTTGCAATACAAAAACATTTTAAGAAAACATTACTAGATAGAATGAAGGCAAAACGAGATCCAACAAATTTGCTATTTGGCTCTCTACATTTACAGAGGAGGAGAGAAAAATTAAGGGTTCTCAATTTCTTCCTCTTCTCTCTACCCCTCTTTCACCTCATACTTTTTGATTTTTTTTTAATAAACTTTTAATTTAAAGAGGAGGTTACAGAAATAATAAAATATTAAAAATTAGTCAAAATAGAAAATATTGTTAAAGAAAACTTTTATTTTATTATATATTTTTTCTGAAGAGTGATCAACCCTTTCCTTTGTATTTTTTTATTGAATATGGCCGCGGTCATGATTTCACACATGAGTACTAGTCACTGAGACTTTTGCTTTTTTTTATTATAAATTTTATAATATATATAGGGAGTGACTTTTGCTAATGGGTATTCCACTTCGTCCTCACCTTTTTTGGGCTTTCAATCGTGTTGATTTTTCAAATCAAAACGAATCACCAAACTCAATGATACAGCCAAGACAACAGAGAAAAACAACCCCCAAACCATCATGGCTCCCATGTGATTGCTCTGCTCTAATTCCTTGGTTCTTGTGCTTTGAACCTTGAATTCTTTGCTTTGACTTATGAAATTTTATATTATTATTAAATAATATTAATTTAATAAAGTTTGATTCTTTCTTTGCTTGTGGGAAAATCCTCAAATCAAAACCCTTTGTTTTTAAGCTTTTTAAATGAGAATCTCAATTGCTTGTTTGAATGAAGTAGGTATTTAAAGTCTTTGAGTCTACCTTTGTAAATATCAACAATAATTAGAGTCTTTGAGAGAGAGACTGGTCTACTTGTAATGGAGTCAGGATTTCGAGTTTTGTGTTTATGTAATAAGTACAACGTTATAACGAATCTACTTGGTGAGTTTAAGGAGCAAGACGCAAAAATTTAATCAACAATAAAAACTGAAGCTCTCTTGAATGTTTGCGAGGAGAAATATGTTTTCACTTATACAAATCAGGCAAGTCTTTTACAAGCATACTCCCCCACTTCCCTTAAAGATATTGTACTTAAACATGAAATCAAAGAAAATTATAACTTCATCGTAGATGCTATGATTCTTAATCCTCAATATTCCCTTGGGAGTTACTTTGTTCTTCCACGGTTGATTGTGATCCCTTTCTTCTGGCCAGTGGACATATCCTCAGCCGAAACACTCAAAACTCCATTTGCATCCATATCAAAGTAAACATTGAACTTTGGAACATGCCTAGGAGCCGGAGGAATGCCATGGAGGGTAAATTCACCCAAAAAGTTATTATTTTTGGCTACGCTACTTTCACCCTCATAAATGGGGAAGTTAACAGACTCTTGGTAGTCATAAACAGTAGTTACACTTGTTGTCTTCCTCACCGGAATTCTTGTGTTTCTTGGGATCACAACATTCATGTATAACCTGGAACTATCACTTTCCTTACTCTCAATCCCAAGAGATAGAGGGGTGACATCTAAGAGAGTGAAGTCTTGAAGCTTCCCCGTTACGTTCCCACTCAAGGCTGCAGCCTGAACAGCAGCTCCATACGCTACGGCCTCATCGGGATTGATGCTCTTGCACAACTCCTTACCCTTGAAAACCTCCTGCAATAGCTCTTGAACCTTGGGGATTCTAGAAGACCCACCAACAAGAACAACGTCATCGACCTCGCTTATGTCCATTTCGGCATCCTCCAAACACTTGTTAACAGGCTCCATGCACTTGTTGAAGATATCCATGTTCAGTTCTTCGAATTTGTCCCGGGTGAAAGTTGTATGAAAATCTTCACCCTTATACCAAGAGTCAATTTCAATATCAGTATCAAAGGAAAACGAAAGTGCCTTCTTTGCTTTCTCACACGCAGTTTTGGCCTTCCGAAGAGCTTTGGCGTCTCCACCAATGTCCACGTTCTGTTTTGTCCTGAATTCTTCGACGCAGTAATTCACCATTCTGTTATCCAAGTCTTCACCGCCAAGGTGAGTGTCTCCGGCAGTGGCCTTCACGTCAAAGACACTGTGGCCAATGTTAAGTAGTGACACATCCAAAGTACCGCCGCCCCAATCAAATATCATCACATTTCTCTTACTAAACCAACCGGCTTTCTTGTCGATGCCATAAGCGATGGCTGCAGCAGTTGGTTCGTTGATGATACGCAACACCTTTAAGCCGGCTAGTTTGCCAGCCTCTAAGGTAGCCTGACGCTGTGAGTCGTTGAAGTAAGAGGGGACAGTGATAACTGCATTTCTTTCAGAAATCTTTGAGCAAAGGTAGGACTCGGCAGTCTCCCGCATCTTTGCCAAAACCATAGATGAGATGTCTTCAGCAGCAAATTGTTTCTCTTCACCCTTGTGGTTAACCACAATCATGGGCTTGTCGGCCGGACCTTCAATGACCTTGAATGGCCAGCACTTGATATCATTTTGAACAGTTTGATCACTAAAGCTCCTACCAATTAACCGCTTTGCATCTGTAAAAATCATTTCCCAGTTTAGATTCTTATGTCAGGATAAGGAAACAAATAAATAAACAATTAAGTATAATTGATCATATCATTTTATTTTTACCGAAGATTGAGTTGGCGGGGAAACTCCCGACTTGGTTAAATGCTTCATCACCTACCCACCTCTTATTATCAGTGAAGGTAACATAAGATCGAGTTGTCCTGTTACCGTGATCGTTCACCAGGATTTCTACATGATCAGCCTGCCACGCTGCCACACACGAATATGTTGTCCCCAGATCGATCCCAATTGCATGGCTATCTTCTGCCATTACTAATTTTCTCGGCTCAAAAGCTCCAAGAAGAAAGTCAAATATTAACAAGGAAGTTAAATAAGTGCAGAAACCAGATGTGGAAGAAAATTTATACACGGAGAGGACGTGAAAAGTCTAATAAATCAATTCTTACGGAGGAAGGAAGTGAAAAGTCTAATACACGCGTATGAGCTTCAAGGGCGGATCCACGTATAGGCTAGCATGTGCTCTGGCACAGTGCTGAATTTTGAGATTAGGCTTATTGTGTTGGCTCAGTCTAGACCAATCAAAGAAATTAGCCCCACCATGGACAAGAAACCAGCCGGCTGCAAGAAGAAAGAACAGAGAAATAGAGCAGATGGAGGGAGAAGAAAGAAAAGAAGAAGAGAGGAAGAAGGAAAAAGAATAAAGAAAGAGAGAAAGAGAGGAGGAAAAAAGAATAAAAGAGAGAGAGAGAGAAGAGGAAATAGAATAAAAAAGAGAGGGGTAGATATGTGTTGGGATGGTATGTGCTTTTATTTTGTCAGGTGCACTGCCCAACAAAAGGTGATGTTTTACTTCGATTCCTTCTAAACATTTGTTCTTTTTTTCTTTCTTTGTTTCCCTTCAATCTCTTCCAAATATTTCATAAAATATTATCAATAATTCCAACATTGTTTCAGTTTCAAATGTCCTATAATAACAAAAAGTTCTAAATATGATGAAGAAAATATACTGAAAAAAGAGTGCTTAAAAAAAAACATTTGTAACAAACAAGGGCTTATACTTTACTGGAAAAAAAATTTAGCCTACCCCTACATATATTTATGGGTCTGCCATTGATGAGCTTAATTTCTTTCGAAAGCCAAAACATCTCATGATTAATACTATACGAGAATCAAGGAAAGAGATTTAAAATGCTATACTATTCTCATTGTATTTTTCTCTATCTTAAATAAATCAGTAATTAATAAAAGGAAATATTTTTGCGAGTGCAACCATGGTTATCAGCCCAGTGTACCATCACCACTTTTATCAACACTTAACATGTGTCCATGAGTATAACCATGGTTACACAAGTACACATGTCAAGTGTTGAAATGGTAGTTATGGCACACCTTGGGTTAAAGTGGTGAGCAAAAATAGGTATAATTTTCTTATACTCATTGGAAATAACACAAAATGTTCATAAGGTTTACGAAACTATCAGATTGCATCCTTATTGTTTTTTTGTATCATTCGTAGTCCTCAAGGTTAGAATGTGTGCTCACAAATGGTCCCTGCCGTTAGGTTCCGTAAAAAACTCCATTAGTTTGCTGACGTGGCATATATGTATCACAAAACATCCCTAAAATTCACACACCTATCACAAATGGTTCCTGCAAACTAATGGAGTTTTTTTTTAAATAATTTAAAATTCATAAAATTTAAAAATGAAAAAACCAACATTTTATGAATTTTAAATTATTTTTGAATATATATATTGAATTTTAAATACACGTGGCACTATATTATTGGAGTTGTGGGCTCCAGATATATGCCACATGAGCAAACTAAGGGAGTTTTTTTAATTTAGAAATGAAAAAACCAAATTTTATGCACCAAGGTTTTTTCATTTTTAAATTTTATGAAGGCTTTATATCACTAAACCCTAAACCCTTGGTTTTTTCATTTAAAATGCATACAATTTTGGTTTTTTGCATTTTTAAATTTTATGAATTTAAATGAAAAAACCAAAATTTTCCCAAGGTCCATTTGTAAGCACACATATTAACCTTGAGAACCATGAATGACACACACACACAAAAAAAAAAAAAGAAAAAAAGAAGAAGGACGCAATCTGATAGTTTTGTGAACCTCGGGACATTTTGTGATATAAAGTCCTTTATGAATTTTAAATTTTAAATTATTATATATATATATATACACCACGTCAGCAAACTAACGGAGTTTTTTACGGAACCTGACGACATGGACTATTTGTGAGCGCACATACAAACCTTGAGGACCATGAATGACACAAAAAAACAATAAGAATGCAATATGATAGTGTCGTAAACCTTAGGGATGTTTTGTGATATTAAGGCTTATCTTTTTTACTTTTGGTTTTTTATCATTCTCTCTCCCCCCATTAATATATAAGTACGCCCTTAAATTTTCCCATTGTCATCTGTACTAACCGATTCTTCTTCAAGGCGAGTATTTTAGTTTTCTGATCATCCTCTATCCCCTCTCCATTTATTGGCTAAGCAGGAAAAATAAAAAAGATAAAATTTCTGATTGTATATTTTTTTTAAACGTTTGGTCTTCGGAAGGAGAGGCGGCTGAAGCTGCTACAATCAACTCATCAACTTCTGCTTCTAGCCAGTCTGCTGGAGCTTCCATGGCCCTAGAGAACATGCCACCATTTCCGGTTCCAATCAAACTTACGAGTGATATATATAACTATCAACAGTGGAAATCTTTCTCTCTTTCATATTTTGACTACCACAATCTTTCTGGAATCATTCATGGAACAGAGCATCGTCCTTCGCTACTTGAGTCTACCTTTAGTTATTGGCCAGGCAGAGATCAAAAGGGTTTGAGTTGGCTCGACAGAGATCAACAGGCTTTGAATTGGATGAAAGGCACTCTATCAGCAAGTCTCCAACAAATAGTCATGGACGGAGCTGACTCTTCACGAAAGGTCTGGCTAAATCTCGAGCAACACTTCGCCCAAAGATGATCTCGACCTACTTAATGTACACATCCTGGCAGGATTACCAGAGGAGTACAATCCCATTCGTGCAAGGATGAAGGTCTCTCCAGTAAGTAGTTGGGCTGAATTGGATGACTTATTATTGAAAGAGGAAATTCATCTGGATGAACAGCGAGACCACGCTATCGGGATCGATCTGGGGACAACGTATTCCCGCGTAGCTGTGTGGCACAAGGATCATGTAGAGGTTATACTGAACGATCACGGGAACAGGAAGACTGCATCTTATGTTGCCTTCACTGATACTGATGAGACTAATTTGGTAGGTGATGCAGCATTTAACCAAGTGGTCAGAAACACACCCAACTCCATCTTTGGTACGTATCATATTCATATGCAGGATTAAACTGCATGTTTACGGTCTCCTTTTTAATTATATTCACTTAGAACTACAATCATGAGTGTATTTATGAAATTGTCACTTTTTCTAAACTATCTAGCAGCTAGATTGTGAATCAACACTATCCAGAAGCCAGCAAAAATTGTCTTATTAAATTAAGTACCGACTTAAACTCGTGCTATCTGATAGAACTTGGCATCCATTTGCAGATACAAAGAGGTTAATCGGTAGGAGATTCAGTGACGCCTCTGTTCAAAGTGATGTGAAGCTCTGGCCATTCAAGGTCATTGAAGGTCCAGGTGACAAGCCCCTGATTGTGGTCACCCACAATGGCCAAGAGAAACAATATTCTGCTGAAGATATCTCATCCATGGTTCTGGTAAAGATGAGGAAGATTGCCGAGACCTACTTGGGTTCAACTGTGAAAAATGCAGTTATCACGGTCCCTGCTTACTTCAATGACTCGCAGCGCAGAGCTACAAAAGATGCGGGCATCTCTGCTGGCCTAAACGTGTTGGGTATTATGAACGAACCAAGTGCTGCTGCCATTGATTATGGCCTTAACAAGAAGGCCGGTTGGAGTAGCCCGCGAAACGTGATGATATTTGATTTGGGTGGTGGCACCTTAGATGTGTCATTGCTTACCATGAGCACTTCTGGTGACTTTGAAGTCAAAGCAACGGCTGGAGACACTCACCTTGGCGGCCAAGACTTCGATAACAGATTGGTGAACTACTGTGTTGAGGAATTCAAGAGGGAGCATAAATTAGACGTTAGTGGAAACAAGAGAGCTCTTAGGAGGTTAAAAAATGAATGTGAGAAGGCAAAGAAGAGACTCTCATTTGAGTCTGATATTGACGTTGAAATTGACTGTTTGTGTGAGAATACTGATTTCACCATAACTTTTACTCGTGCAATATTCGAACAACTAAACAGGGAATTATTTACTAAGTGTATGGTGCCTGTGAAGAAGTGCTTAAGGGATGCTAACATGGACGTAAGCCGTGTCGACGATGTTGTTCTTGCTGGTGGCTCTACTAGAATTCCCATGGTGCAACAACTATTGCAGGAGTTTTTCAACGGGAAGGAGCTGTGCAAGGGCGTTAATCCGGATGAGGCAGTGGCATATGGTGCTGCGGTTCAAGCCGCAGCCTTGACTGGGAATGGAAAGGGGGAGTTTTTTCAGCACTACACTCTCAAGGACGTCACTCCTCTGGCACTTCGTGTGGAGGTTGCAGATAAGAATTTCATAATTCCAAGAAACTCTCTAATTCCCATGAATAAGAAGCTAGAATTGTGCACTGTTAAGGATGACCAAGTTTACATCAGCTTTCGCATATATGAGATTGACAGTAGCATACCAGCAAATCTCAACTTTTTGAGTGAATGCAGCATCCGTGACATTCCTCCAGGTCCAGCTCCCAAACATGTTCATAAATTCGATGTTTTCTTCGAAATTGATCCCGATGGCATCTTGAGTGTCTCTGCTGTCGATAAGTCCACTGGCCAAAACAGAGAGATCATAATCAACCGTGACAAACCGAAGTAGTCTGAGGGAATTCAGAGAACTAAGAGATGAGGTAAGAAATGATAATCCATATGCAATGCTACCGCTGAAACACGATATATTATAAAATCAAATAAATTTGATGTATCTTTACTTTGTTTACTTGTAGCAGGTTATATTGTTTTAGGGTGAAATCATTATTTTTTTTTGTGATCTACTTCAGCAGCCCCAATATTCCTACGGCCGTCTACGCTGCACCGCATTGCAGAACTCAATGATCCTTACCATGTGGTGCCTCACTGATTTCTTTTGTTTGGCTCATTCGAGCTTGGTTTGCTTGTAGAATAAACAATTCGAGCTGAATGGGAATAAACAATCCAACTGCGACACCAGAAATAAACTGTATTGCAATGGTGAAAAAATAAAAACAAACACAAACACCTAAAATTTTTTTCTCTTCAACCTTCTAATGTCATCAATCCACAAAGCCTGTCTTACAAAAGACTTACACTTCAGGTTCAAGAGTTCTTCCTTACCTGTTGCATACCTGTTGCATATTTTCCATCACCATCCAATAATCTCTAGTTTTGATATCATGTTACGGTGTTTCATTACCATACAACAATCTCTCCTAAACTTGGTTCATTGGTGGATAGATTCGACCTCCTCCTGACCCGTTGGGAAAATTTTGTCTCGAGTGTAATATAGCCTAGAGCCCTTTGTCAGTTTTGTGTTACGCTTAGCAAACTCACATAATACACAAAACACAATAACATATCTCTAGGCTATTGACAACACATTTGTCTAACAGCATTAAAAACTACATTACAAGATTAGGGTTCTATCGTAACAGATAAACAAAACCAAATTGCATCCATTGACATCCAGAATAAGGTTTTGAAGTTATAACCCAAATAAATTCTTCAAAAATCTTCAACCATCCTTTTTCCCCCTTTTCATTTCCTTTGTTTTTCCTGAAAGATAACTCTGGCAACAGAATTCATCTTACTTTCATTTACCGCCCGAATAAGAGTTGATTGCTGGGGTAAATAAAGTATGACCATTTCCTTCAAGTTCTTTGCATCTTCAAGCATATATCTTGCTAGCTCCAGTTCATTGTTCCCATTAGAAAGCTCTATTGTTGCCTCCTTAAGCTGATCAATAAAAGCCAAGTTTTGAGATTTCCAGAATTCCTTATTAAATCCACACACCTGGAAAGGAAACAAGCAAATCAATTTAAAAAACTAGCGACCAAATGTTACTCTCAGAACTGCACTACCTACTTATGATGATTATCCCTATACATCACTCAGGATACAAACATTTAAGTTCTAAAAATAACATTTCGCAGAGCACAACTATTTTTAGTTTTTTTTGACCCAGATCAATACACTCACTCATTTGAGTGTTGTGGACTTGCGTGTGTGTGTGTGTGTGTGTGTGTGAGAGAGAGAGAGAGAGAGAGAGAGAGAGAGAGAGAGAGAGAGAGGACAGACTTGAACTCTTACTTCAGGTTTATGGATGAGTAAGGAAGTGTCAGACTTTATGCACAAAGTTTTCAAATTGGGCATTCTTCTCAGAAGAGAGACCATTGCCGGGACTATGTCATCATCCAAGCTCTCAATATGCATACCCAGGTAAGAAATATCATCAAACGGTGTAGACACAGGACCTTCCCTCAACAGAGCCTGCAATATTATATAGATGAGAGGCAAACTCTTAAATGAAACAAGTGTGAGCACTCAGAACACTATAATGAAAAGAGATTCACACAAATGAGCTAATTGCAATCAATTTCAATAATCTACATAATAATCATTGGTCAAAAAGTTATTATTATTTTATACTTTCGGTTATGTTCACCTTCTGTTTTTTAACCAAAGAAGAGATGGGAGCAAAGTGGGAAATCAAAAAAATAAAACAATCTTAAATAGTTAAAAAAAAATCAATTTAGTTCTATCTATTCTCCCTCCTCTCTGCCTCCCACCTGTCAACTCCCTCAATCCTTTCACTCCTTGAGACATTAAAAAAAAAAAAAAAAAAAAAAAAGTATCAAATGACCCTTTTTAATTTCCAATTTTGTATTTTTTGCAGATTGATAAGTTCATGCATTGATTTCAAATAAAACTTGCAGCACCAATATGAAATATCATCCATGTAATACCATCACTCGGTTTTGAAACATCTTTTAAGTTTACAAAACATAAATTAGCCATCCCTACTATTGCCACGCTGTAGAATCATAGCAAAGATATGTTCCCTACAATATCCTTCAAAAGATTCCAGAAAATACATAATCTAGCACAAGTTCATATTGCAGGGCATCATGTTTTTGCTACAAGAGAGTTTCTGTCTGAATTTTTACCTTGGTCATCTCTCCACTTAGAATAAGGACTTTAGCCCTGCATACACTGCAGAGAACCGCAAGTACATTGCTGAAGTCATTGTTATCTACCCCATGCTTCAGAAAAATCTCAGCCTTCTCTAAACGCATTAGTTTCCCCAGATTTTGGTTATTCAACAAATTCCCAATCCAATTCAAATATTTAAGATTTGGAGCAAAAACTTTGAAGGATCTGCTGCTAGTTGAAGCAAATTTCCACTCTATATGCATGTCTTCAAGTTTCTCACAAGAGATATTAAGATGACAGAGGCCACAATAAGAGGGAAACACAAAACTAAAAGATTCCAACGACGAGCTTTCCAGGGTGATATTTTCTACTTCAACATGTTCAAGATGCAATTCCTTAATGCATTTGCAAGAACACGAGATCCATTTGCAAAACCCCTCATCTATTGTAACATTTGTCAACTTTAAGTACTGGAGATTAGTGGAACTAACCAAGGAGGGCGCTGTAAGAATTTCATTGCAGTGCACTGCACTGATAGAGACCTCAAAGATCCACAACGAAAGATGCAAGATGGCAACTCTAGCATCGTCGTATCAGGTATCCTCAACTCAAGATCAAGCACTTCAACATTACACCTTACTGCCATATGGATCCACGTGACTACTCCGTAAAGCTCATTATAGAGACTTGAAGCTTGTCCGTAACTGAGACTCCAACAAATACGAAAGCATTGTATCTTATTCTCCCTACGACGAACCAAGAACCTATCCAAAGAACTCAACAACTTGAATTGCTTAGCATAAGAGGATTTATTCCAGTTGTTAAATTCATCAAAATTCAATGAGGGCGTTGACAGATAAAGTTCTCTGCACTTTTTGGATAAAGTGCCGAAACGAGTGAGATCCAATATAGAAACTGATGAAAGAATCTGATGAGCAACTTCGTTGGGCAGATCACTAAATCTATCTTTCATATGGTCAGGACAAGCTCCTTGAGCCTGAGAACTTGTAGTTGCCAATAACTTGCGCTTAGGTTCCATGATACTTGTTGTCCTTTTGTTTTTGTAATAGCACCTTACACCTACTAAGATAAAGGACATGAAAACACTACGTAAATATATGACATCGACAGTACAAAACCCAAGACCATTAAATCTCTATATGCTTCTAATTTGGAATATAAATTTGCCAAGTTCTACTATCTTTGAGTCATTAATAGAAGATTCAAGATGAAGTGCAAAAAATTGCCATAAATTAGAAAACAACCTACAGACCATTTGTTAAATTTTATTCAATACCAAAAAGTTAAATCTTTTTGTAAAATTATATATATATCTGTTTTATAAAAGACGGCATTATGTGCAACTAACCCTTAAAGCCGTCCTGAAGGTTAACGAAACCAGAAAATGCTCTGTGAAAGTTTGCAGCTTTTCCTCTTAATAGAATTCAAAATCTTCCAAAGTTATCAATTACCAACAAAAAAATTGTAGAGGAAGAAAGAAAAAGACCTAAGCTAACAGCAGTAAATGGGCTTTACCTAAAGTTTATTGAAGATGAAAGCCTCTGTTCCAACCTTGGAGACGAAGGCACGAGCAGTACTGAAAGAGATTCAGATGGTGAAAGCTGAAGAATTTCAAAAAGGAAATAGAGAAACTGGAATCAGCAAGGGCATAGAATTGGGGGGGGCGGTGTGGGGTTGAACGATCGGAAATTAACCCATACCTGATAAGGCTACAGATCTGGTAGCTGCGAAACGGAGATTGTGGTTCGTCTCTTCAGTGGCTCGGCACTCGGCCGGCAAGTCCCCATTCTCGTCTAATTTTGGTGTTGCTCAAATCAAAAGAACTTTGTTTTTGTTAGTGGCTCGGCACTCGGCCGGCAAGTCCCCATTCTCGTCTAAGTACGATAATTTTATCCTTTTTCATTAAAAATAATTTATCCAGCGTGTTTTAAAGCACGATAGTTTTTAGAAGGAACAATCGTAATTATTGCTAGCTCCTTTTAAAGCATGACGGTTTTAAATGGAACCGTCCTCATATTTTGTGATTATTAAAAACAAGAATCTTTTTCGCTCTGAAGGGAGTCTTTCAATGAAGTTCTTTACTTGACTAAAAGATAAAATAAAAATTCTTCCTCGCAAGACACAGATAAATGATAATGGAGAGTTGTGTTTCATAAAAATAGGATATATTATCTGATTTTTTTTTTAATTTTAATTTTTATAAATATAAAAAAGTGTGAATTTATCATATTATCCTCATTTAATTAATAATTTCAATTATTAATGTTTGTATGAACGAAGGGCATTTTTTGGTATTTTGAATGTTTCACAATTCTCTGCCTTTTGCTTTATATATATAGATTATATTTATATGCACTAGTTGTTGAGACTTTTGCTTTTTTGTTTTTTTTTAAATATAAGAGGAGAAATACTTGCATAAAACGGAGATATTATTATTTTGTTATTTTCGGTCAATCACACTTGCATAAACGGAGATATTATTATTTTGTTATTTTCGATCAATCACGATATGTCAAGCGTTAGTTTTTATGGTGGAGTGAGTTTTGCCTATGGCGATCCCCTTCGTCCTCACCTTTTTGGCTTTCTATCTCGACCAAGACTTCCAGCTGCTTTTGTTATATATTTCGATGTATATGGTGAAAATCGTGTTTGATTATTCAAAATGAGTCACCAAAGAAGTTGGGCGCACTCAAAGATACAGCCAAGACTACAGAGAAAAAACAACCCACACTTTACAGAATTTTCTTACATATTTACGCTATTGTGCCAAAAAAAGTTCCATGAAAACATTAGGTGAGGTACGCGTTTAAAGTATTGTTTAAATATCAACCATGTTGTAAAGTGAGAGATGAAATCAACATGAGTAAAAGAGGATGTATTAGTCAAAAGATGAAATAATGATGTTGGATAGGAGAATCATGATGTCTTCCTTGTGACTCATGGGAGCCATTTGCCTTGCCTATAAGGAGGCATTATTTTCTACTTGTAAATATATACCAACGAAGAAGACATGGAAAATGACTCAATGAAAACATCAGACTTCTATGCTTTCTCTATATCTCAATTCTCTCTACAATCTTTTTAGTTTTATAACAAACAATGATTAGTCTTTGTTAGTGTGTTGCCATATAACTGTAGCAGAGTTGGGAATTCGAACTCATCATACATTCCAAATTTAAAACTAATCAAAAGTACCAAAACATCATACATATTACATATTCTAGGTATAAATTGAAAGACAAAATAAACTTAACAGAGAATAAATCAAAATTTTCACAAACCCAATGAAACCATAAGTAAAGAGAAAACAATAAAATATAAGAGAAAGATTAACCAATCTTAATTAAGTGAGTCAATCCAATTAAAACTTTATAATATATTATATAAAGAGTAAGAGAATAAATAAAATCACAAACCTCATATCCAACCTGATTATAAGAGTAAGAGAAATGGGTGAACATCATAGTACGATCAATATCCATCGGCACATCGTACGATCCGAATCGTATATATTTTTTTTCACCTTAATTCATAGATCATTCTTACAAAAAATTAGACAAATTGAACATCATTAAGACATCTAATTGTGACTAACAAAATAGACAAACATGATGCTTAAAAAAATTAATGACAACTATTAATTGAGTGGTCAAATGGTTTTGGATTGAAACGATTTTTTTACAGAAATGATCTTTGGAAGAATAGCTAAAAGATAGACTGTTCGGATTACAAGAGTGTCCTCCCTCAAATAATTTGAGGGATCACTCTTAGAGCATCCGCAATGATGCTCTCTATTTCTTAGCTAAAATTTAGCTAAAAATATAAGAAAGCTATTTTAGAGGCTCTAAGCTTATATATATATATATATATATATATATATATATATATATATATAT